CTGTGAAACTATCACGACAGTCAAGATGACCGCAGCCCTTACTCTTAACTACGAAGCAGCAGTTTCCACCCGTTAATCCTAGTTCTTAGCCTGAAATCACTGGATTAGCTTCAATCCCATCTTAGGTGATAAATAGTCAGATACTTGATGATGACCAACCTGTACTTCCTAAATCTCCTGTTCCTTGAGATAAATGCTTTCAAAAGTTTCTGCAAGTGCATTTCATAGGAATAGTTGAATTTCTCTAAACAGCTTGTTCACCCTTATTTAGGGATTTTGGTAAGATCGTGAATATTTGCATGATTTTCCAGTCTGCCAAATGCCATGCAACTTTTGCCACAAGGCATGTAGGCTGGAAGGAGGCCTGCAGGTGGCAGCCACAGTGCTTCTAGCAAGGCCCAACTAGGCAGGTAGACCAGGGTGGCAAAGTCTCTGGGTTAGACAGGCCTTCTCTGAATGCTCTTGTTTGGATAGTCTGATACTCTTCGAGAAGTCCTCCCATGAACCAGGCATGATCTTTCTTATTCTAAGAAGAAAAATTAATATAAAACTGTTTAATTGTGTTTTTCTCCATTTTATACTATTTTAGGGAAGAAAAAATTTCTCAAGTACTGTTCAACTTCTAATACTAACTTAGAAGTATTAGAAGGTAATTTTTTGGCTCTCATTTTCTCTTGTTTGAACAGTAGGGTTTGCCCCAAGTTAGACAGTGAGATTGCCAGAGGCTGCTGTAAATCTGCTTCCTTCCAGTGCTCGTTGATGCTAGCATGTCATACCTTGTTCAGATGATAAATAATTAAGAAATAAAATATTTTCCCTAACAATAAATAGTCTATAAATAATCTTAAAAAATAAGAAAACATTTTAGGCATATATTCTGTGGTTTATAAGGCAAACTTTTTTTTTTTTTTTTTGAGACTGAGTTTTGCTCTTGTTGCCCAGGCTGGAGTGCAATGGCGCAGTCTCGGCTTACTGCAGTCTCCCCCTCCTGGGTTCAAGTGATTCTCCTGCCTCAGCCTCTCGAGTAGCTGGGATTACAGGCATGTGCCACCATGCCTGGCTAATTTTGTATTTTTAGTCGAGACAAAGTTTCTCCATGTTAGTCAGGCTAGTCTGGAACCCCTGCCCTCAGGTGAGCCACCCACCTCAGCCTCCCAAAGTGCTGGGATTATAGGTATGGGCCACCGCGCTTGGCCAACAAACTTTTTTTTTTGAGACAGTATCTTACTCTATTGCCCAAGCTCGAATGCAGTGATGCAATTACACAATCACAGCTCACTGCAGCCTTGACCTTCCAAGCTCAAACAATCCTCCCAGCCCAGCCTTCTGAGTAGCCAGGATTATAGGCATGAGCCACCTGAACTGGCTAAAGTGCTTAGGAAGAAATCAATGTGTGGTGATCATTTACTGTTAGGCAAACAGTTATTGTTATTTTGGAGTACTTTGGTTTCTGTGGAGTTTTTTGTTGTTGTTTGTTTGTTTGTTTGTTTGTTTTTTGAGATAGAGTTTTGCTCCTGTTGGCCGGGCTGGAGTGCAATGGCATGATCTCAGCTTACCACACAACCTTTGCCTCGTAGGTTCAGGCAATTCTCCTGCCTCAGCCTCCCCAGTAGCTAGGATTACACGCATGTGCCACCACACCAGGCTAATTTTTTGTATTTTTAGTAGAGACTGGGTTTCTCCACATTGGTCAGGCTGGTCTGTGAACTCCTGACTTCAGGTGATCCGCCCACCTCGGCCTCCCAAAGTGCTGGAATTACAGATGCGAGCCACTGTGCCCGGTCTCTGTGTGGAGTTCTTAACATTGGAAGGAGTAGTTTAATATACAGATACTAGGCCTAGGAGGGGAGAATTGGGGCCCCGAGTTTCTGGCTCTCATTTTCTCTCATTTTGGCAGGTAGATCAAGCTACTGAGGTCTCAGAGTTAGCCAGTCCTTCTCTGAATGCTCTTGTGCTGATGGGCTGACCCTCTTCAAGCAACCCTTCAGTAAAACAGGTATAAGCTTTCCTGTTCTAAAGTAAGAAAGATTAATATAAAACTGTTCAATTGTGTTTTTTTCCATTTTCTAATTTTTTTGGAAAGAAAAAAATTCTCAAGTACTGTTTAATTTGTAAGACTAATTTTTCCCTAAAAAATCTTTCTTATAATTTGTCTAACATGAGACTGGGCATGTATACAATCTTATTTGTCCTTACAACAATACCATATAATGGAGTAATGGTATTACATCTCATTTCAAAGATGAAAATAATTGAAGCTTAGGGTAATTTAGCAACTTGCCAAATTTTTTATGGCTGTCAAATGATAGAGCCATAATATAACCAGTATGATTCCATATCTGAAATTGGTTTCACTTTGCCTAGGGCTTGGGATGTGAATGACAGAGGAGAACAGGGAACAGTGGATAAAATCCCAAGTCCATGAATTCTTTTGTTTAAATATCCACCTGTATATTACATTACACACACAGATATTTTCCATTTTCATAAAAATGCCTGATGAATGCATTTAGTAATACAATCCATTAATCATGCAATAATAGTGTTCTGTAACAACTTGTAGTTTATGTATCATGGACATCTTGCTATGACAATTGATCTACTTTATTCTTTTATTTTCCTTTTTATTTTTAAAGTAGTATAAGTACAGCATAACTGATACTCATCAAAATGTAGTTTGGTTTTTTTTGTTTTTTGGCTCCCACCCCAGGGATTCAGATTTGGTAGGTCTGGGTCGGGACCCAAGCATGTGGGTGGGGTCTAGGAGAGTTTCCAGGGTGACTGCCACACAGCACTGGTAAGGAACTGCTATTCTATGCCACATCTTCTAGGGTCGATGAGATATGAACAAACAGAGCAACCAACAAAGCATGCAGCCAGCCAGCAGCAAAGTATCCTGGTGCCAGAGAAAGGCTGGACGAAAGGAGAAGATTGGACTCCATTTCCCGTGAAGGGAGAAGTACAGTAATATTCCTGTGGTAGACACGGGTAGTCCGGTTGTGTGTTTCACAGGGGTGTGCAAAAGAGGGATGTGGAAAGACAGTGACAACCCCCAGAGACTTCCATAGGGACAGAGGTTAGATTGGAAGCTGGGGGGCTTATTTTAAAGTTACGTTTGCGTGGCAAGCACAGTTTTATTGGGATGGCTTATCTGAAGTGCTTCGGCAGGGCTGCTGGATTGCGGGAGATCTAGAAAACCTCAGAGATCCCTTTCATGCTACACTAACAGGGAGAGGGTCTGAGTACTAGGAGGTGCATTCATTCTATTTTATTACTTTCTTTTTTCCATTAGGAAATAACATTTCTCATTACTAGTTTGCTTAGGGCATGTACAACACACAAATAAGGGCTCTGAACTTCTTTTGTTATTCATTTCAGTTTCACCCCCCCTCTCAGAATATCATTGATTGATCCACTTGAGAGTCTCCGCCCTTCTGTGGAGCATCTTACTTGCTGATGAAAGATGTAATCAGCATATGTAATCCTGAAGTGGACTTTTGGAAGAAAGGCAAACACAGGCCCAGGGAGCCCCAGCCTTTCCCCTTTCTTCATCCCCAGCAGGAACCTGTTCTTGATTTTCCCCAGGGGGCTCAGCCCAGTTTCTGGGTCATCCCAGGCCCATGGCAAGGGCACTGAATCCAGCCCAGCCTTGCTCTCTGCAGCTCATCACCCAGCCATACTCCTGGCCAGTCTGCCCAGAGGCAGTGCCCTGATTCTGTTAATTGGGCTCTTGCCTCGTTCCCAAGCCTAAGGTCCCCTGTGGGTACTACTGTTCCCAAGTTCCTGCCTGGCAGCCTGCCTTGAGGCCCAGATTTTTCCTAGGAGTAAAGAGGCCTTTCCCATGCCAGGCTCCCACCCGGAATTGGAACACTGCCTCAGGCCTGAGGTTTCTGATTGGAGCTTAGCCTCTAGAGGACAGACTTCATGGAGCCAGCTTCCTGTCTGGATTTCCAAGTATTACCTGCCCATCGCTGGATTCTAACTGCTTATTGGAAGCATTTCTGCTCTGACTTATGGCCTTTCTCTCCTTCCCCCTTGGCCAACTGCTCCTCTGAGCTGTAAGCAAAAATTGCTGTGAGCTGCAATTGCCTGATAGATTGAATTTTCTTTGCAAGCACCTGCAATATCGTCAGCTTTGCAAGCACCTGCAATATCGTCAAACACAGATTTTCACCCTAGTTGGTGGGCCCCATGCTATGTCCTAAGCCCTCTGGATCTTGCCTAAGTAATGGGATATGTTCTACAATTCAGTGACATGTCCATGGCTTTACACAGTTGATGGGTTTTGGAAAAGTTCTATTTAAATCAATACTTTACAAATGAGGTCCTCTTAAATATTCCGGAGAGACTGGTTTAGAGTATCCTATTCTGATCTCTTTACGCAAAGTGAGTAGCAGCCGGGCATGGTGGCTCACACCTGTAAACCAGCACTTTGGGAGGCGGATGTGGGTGGATGGCTTGTCCTCAGGGTTCAAGACCAGCCTGAGCAACATGTTTTTTGTCTTTACAGGAAACAAAACCAAAAATTAGCTGGGCACGGTGGCTCTTGCCTGTAGTACCAACTACTTGAGAGGCTGAGGTGGCAGGATCCCTTGGGCCTGTGAGGTTGAGGCTGCAGTGAGCCATGATTGCACCACTGCACTCCAGCTGCGTGACAGAGCGAGACCCTGTCTCAAAAAAAAAAAAAAAGTGAGTAGCAATATGATGTTGTGTGAAGTATATCATATGTAAGACTTGAGAGTTTTAGCTTTCACAGATTGTGATCTTGAACAAATTATTACCTGGTCATCCAGTAACATTTTTCTCACCTGAGAAAAGATGAGGGGAATTTAGTAATTCTAAGGCCCTGTCTAGTTCTAACAGTCTCTGATTGTTAATAATTGCACCCTACCTTGTATTGTTTTGTATACTCAAATTTTTAGGTTAAAAGTTCTCAAAATTAAGTACACTGGTATGAAGTTTCTGCCTGGGGACTGACTCTTTTGGCTTTTGTTTTATAGGTTGTCTTTAATGACCTGGAGTTGTTATAACAGCTGTCAACTGAGGTAAGCCTCACAGAAGGGGAGCTGCCTTACCTCCAGAGAGGAGCTTTCAATTTCTTATTTTTGGAAATAACAGAAAGCAAAGAAGGCTCTTCTGAAAGTGAAGCAACAGGCCACCCCAAGCCACTGGGAGGAGAGCAGACCTGGTGTTGAACGGGGGTGTTTGAGAGCAAGTCCTCTGAGAAGCAGAGACAGCATCAGCCTGCTCTTTTCTTCTATAATTAAGAGGGAGGCCCTGGATATTTGTATTAGACCCTTTAATCTAAGGGTTGCTAAATGTTTTACAAACATTAATTAATTCAATTAGACTTTACACCACCACCTTGAGGCAGGTAATTCCTCTTTGGGATATCACATCTTTGCTTGCTACCACAGACTATATTTTGGGCAGATTAGGATAATTAATAATAACAGTAAAGCCTTGAGTTTAGATAAAGTTCTATAACTTAAGGTCTCAGGTACTTTACAGATACCAGATTTGTGTAATGAGGACTCAGAGAAAGCTTGAGCCAGCTTATTGGCAATGATGACAAGGCAGAAATATTGCACTTGTTTCAGGTTCTACTCCGTTCTTAAGACACATGACCTTGAACAACTCTTTGTGACCTCTTTATGACTCAGTTTCTACAGCTTTCAAACAGGGGTGATGATATTACTCACCTCCCTACTTCACAGAGATGTTGCGAAGAATAATGTTTGTAATATGCTGTGAGTTCTCAGATGAAAGATGGAAATTAACATATAATGAAACGTTATTACCATTTATCATCACACAATCTAAATGGGCCAGACAAATGAAGCATCAGCATCCCCACGATCCTGGAAGAGAAACCAGTCCTGCCATTATTTCCATTGAACACGTATTATAGACACTCACAGAGGTTGATAACTGCTCAGAGCAACAGACATGCTCCTGAAATAATCAAAAGCAAACTGAGATGCCAGATCAGCAGAGGTAGCTAAGTATTTATTTATTTTTTTTCCTGTTTTCCATTTCCATTCTTATTTGGGAGAGAGTATTTGAGAAGAAATGAGTGCAGGGAGAGAATCAGAGAATAATCGAAGGAACTTTTCCTCTTGGACATTCCTCTCAATTCTAAGGTATCAACATATGTGTATAATTTGTAGTCCCCAGAATGGGCTGTGTGCGAGCCCTCGTCCGTGCCTTTGCTCTCCGTCTCCTTTGTTAAAAGTGCTTTCCTTACACATCTGCATTTACGTAGGCCAGCATAAAAGTCCGATCTTTGTGAGAGCTTCCTGGTCTAACTCCCTACTTGAACTTCCTGTTATTCTTGTGTAATTAGCATATTATATAGGTTTTTTTTTTTTTTTTTTTTTTTTGAGATGAAATCTTCTGTCGCCAGGCTAGAGTGCAATGTTGCAATCTCAGTTCACTGCAACTTCTGCCTCCTGGGTTCAAGCAATTCCCCTGCCTCAGCCTCCTGAGTAGATGGAACTACAGGCACGTGCCACCATGCATGGCTATTTTTTTTGTATTTTAGTAGAGATGTGGTTTCCCCATTTTGGCCAGGATGGTCTCAATCTCCTGACCTTGTGATCTACCCTTGTTGGCCTCCCAAAGTGCTGGGATTACAGGCATGAGCCACCACGCCTGGCTGGAATTTATATTTTGGTATTGGTTGTGTTTCTTAACAGACTTAACTTTTCTGGAGCATAATTTATTAAAGCTTTATTCTTCATCTATTACAGATCTGGGCATAGTGAAGTTAGTCAAACTTGTGTTAAATTAATGAATGAATGGAATCCTTCAGCAAAATGTCAAGATTAGAATTCAGACCACAGCAAATCCTCATCTGCCATTCTCACTGTGCCTCATTACAACATACGGTACAGAATAGAAATACCGAAGAGGCACAATTAAGGAAAGAGAGGCTGAATTAAAATCGAACAATGTTCTGAAGAGAAATAGAAGACTCAACTTAGAAGGTTCAAGAAAACTGTCTACATAAATACAGTATTGCCTGGGAAGGACCGAGTTGCTTTAGCACTTGATTTCCATAATATGAGAGCACAGGCTGGTCAGGAGCAACAGGCATATTTATGGAGTTCAGTTTGCCTTCCATATTATTGTCACTCTTTGCATTAAGCTCAGAGCTAGCATTCGAGGCCTCCATGCATGGTGTTTGTCTATATTTTCTTGCCACACATCACTCCCTTCTTTTTCCTTTACACATCACATACTGCAGTGGGGCTGATGGACTTGCTGTGAACATGGCCATGTGTTTCTCCCTCTGATGACCCCCTTGCTTCAAATGCTCTTTCCTGTGGGCTGACTCCTGTTCGAGCCTCAGCATCTCCACCTGTTGTAGTCTTTTTTGTCTCTTTTCAAGCAGTGCCTGTCTCAAAAGGCTTCCTTCACAAAGAGGCTTTTCTGGTCATGTAAATGCAGAACTCCTTGCAGAGCACTTTGGATGTGCCAAATAAATGTGTAGAAGTGGTATTAGCCTAGTAGCTAGGATCACGGATTGGGAGAGCTGCTTTGCTTAGGTTCAAAAACTCATTCTGTCACTCACTAATGGTTTGGTGTAGGCAAATTATTTAATATCTGCACCTGTGTTTTCTTGTCTGTCAAATAAGAATGGCCAGAATAGTATCAACCACTGAGGCGTTTTTCAGGATTGTGTGCAAAAGAGAGTGTACACTGTTTAGAATAGTGCCTCATAGCTGGAAGTGTTCAGTAAATGTTCTCTTTGCTTTCCCAATCTAGCCCTGTTTCCGGATATGCTTATCTTTGTAGACCAAAAGCACTAAATGAGGGTGAGTACTGCCCATACGTAGTGTTGCCGTAGATAAAATCTAGATGTTTTACCAATAGAACTCCCAAGGAACTTGAAGAAACTCTCTCAGTATTGCAGTCCTCAGTTCTACTGAACCATGTTTTGGAAAATAATTTTCCACAGACACTTGATTTTTATAAATGCTTTTAATGTTCTTAGGGACTTACATATTTGCCTGTTCAAGTTTGGCTTAGATATTGTCACAGCATGATCTGATTTATTTGAGTGTGGTAAGTTTGTATACAGTTTCTCCTCTAGTTCTTAATCAGTTACACACTCATCTCAATCCCACAATGGTGCATGAGTTGCCAAGTATATTCAGGAACCCAGCCAAAAGGAAACAGTGCAAATATTGCCGGCGATAAACAGGAGAATGAATTGCTTCTCTTTCACCTGCCCAATAGCACTGTTAGAGTTTTGCCATGTTGCATACAAATACTCCTCAACCTCTATCAGTTGAGATGAAATTTGGAATATTCTTGTTTTATATTTTTTTCCTGTACTAAATATATAATTACTGCATAGTAAAGCTGATAAATGTTTAGTTAGTTTTCTTGAGATTTATTTTTTTATTGAAGTATGCTTTTAAAATTTATTACATCTTTTTATTGAGATATAATTCACATTTTATAAAATTCACCCTTTTGAAGTATACAGTTCAGTGATGTTTAGTATATTTACAAATTTGTGAAGTCATCAGTAACTCTGGAACATTTTTTACCCTCCCCCCACCAAGAAACCCTGCATCCTTATAATTTGACCCTGTGATAAAATGTTAATTTTATTTTCATTTATTTGATTAAATTGTGTTAGCAATTTTTTGAAACCAGGAGAACTACATAAGTATTTTGTAATTAATATTATAATGAATTTACTTAGCTTAGTTTTTATGTTTGTATTTTACTATTTTCTCAAGGTTTTACACATCCAACACATACACACACACGCACACACACAGAGAGAGAGAGAGAGAGAGAGAGAGAGAGAGAGAGAGAGAGAGACATTGATCTTAGTCACATTAGGGTTATTTGGGTCAGGTTGGAGATACCATTGCCAGTGTAGCTTGAGCAAGGGACAGTGGACATGGTGAAGGTAGAAATAACTATCTTTTATTGAACACCTATTATTTCCCAGGCACGATTTCTTAAAAAACGATTTTAGGACATAGGTTCTATTATCATCGTCTTTATGTTACATGTGAGCAAGTAGAGGCTAATGGAATTTATATAACTTGTTACATCCCAAGGTAGCATAACCACCACGTAGTAAAGTCCAAATTTGAACTCAGGCCTTCCAAATTTAGTGCATATGCCCTTAACCCCTATGTCCTAACACCTACTATTCAATTGCGCATTTAGTTGAATAATCCTAACAGCACTTGATCAGTGCTGTAAAATGTACTTTATTTATTTATTTATTTATTTATTTAGAGACAGAGTTTCACTCTTGTTACCCAGGCTGGAGTGCAATGGCGCAATCTCTGCTCACTGCAACCTCCACCTCCTGGGTTCAGGCAATTCTCCTGCCTCAGCCTCCTGAGTAGCTGGGATTACGGGCACACACCACCATGCCCAGCTAATTTTTTGTATTTTTAGTAGAGATGGGGTTTCACCATGTTGACCAGGATGGTCTTGATCTCTTGACCTCGTGATCCACCCACCTCGGCCCCACAAAGTGCTGGGATTACAGGTGTGAGCCACTGCACCCAGCCAAAATGTACTTTTACAATGATCTCATTCCATCCTTTCAACAGTCCTGTCGGCTGGTACCAGATGAGAAGAGCCAGTTCCTATGGTTAAATGATCACACAGCAAGGCCAGTGCAGAAAAGCAGCTGGAATACAGGTATTTTGCTAGAGCTAGGGTACGGGTGTGTTTCTCTACACCACATTGGGACTTCTATCACTTATCTTAGCATTCTGTTCCAGCTCTTATAATAATAACCCACTTCCCGTCATATTTGTTTGGGTGTTTGAATCCCTACATCAACAGGAGAGTGGCAAATATGACTTACTTTTTTATGTAGTCCCTGTGCTCAAGCAATGTTTATTGAATAAATGTGTAAATAAATTTAAAAAGAGTCTTGCCATATAGTCACTTCAATATTTTATTTCTAGACTTCCTTAAGTGTTGAACCATCAATATTTTATGTAAAGAGTGACACAGACTAGTTTGATTATAGCTTTGTTCTTTTTCTACATGTGTTTCAAAAAAGTAAACTTAATTTCACGTATACAGCAAACAGAATGTTTTTTGCATATACAAGGAAATGTGATTACAGATTAGTGATAATTTGCATCTTTTGTAAGCAAAATGAATGAGAATAGTATTGAAAACCTATGGATCGAAGCTTTCATTAATCGAAGAAGATCCAAGACTCTGTGTACTTCCACTCACTCCAATTCCTTAGGCCATCTGAATAAAGCAGTGACCTGGGAGTTCTTGCACCCGCTCCTCACTCCTGAGAAGGGTCCTGCCAACTCTGTATTGTCCTGTTGGATTTGCAGTCAGAGGTCTGATGCTGGCAGGCAGTGGGCAGGCAATGAGTTCTTTCCCTGTAAGTTGGGCACAAAAAGATCGGCATGGGAGCAGCCTCCTTTGAGACAGCTGCTCTGAGAGAATGCAATAAACAGAGAGCAGCCAGAAATTCCTCCTAGCAGAGGGCGACTTGTGGGAGGAGTTCAGTGTGCCAAGTATTGTCATTTGTTGAGGGAAGGTGTGTGCCCAAGGAGGAGTTTTAACCTGGAGGATCATTAACTCTTTTAGTCAGCTGAGGAGCTGCGGTGGCTTGGCGGCGAGTTGGAGTTCGTCCTGGAAGCATTTGCCTGGCAAAGTCAGGGAGGAAGTGTGGAATAACTTTTTCATGGGGGACCAGTTTGAGAAGGGCCAGCACGCTTTGCTCAATGAAGGAGAAGAAAATGAGATGGTAAGATTCTAGCCACATTCCCTTCTTCCCATTCCCACTCCTCAGCCTCCAAGACACACACACACACACACACACACACACACACACACACACACACACACACACAGACTTCTCTGCAATTTCACTCTGGTATTTCACAAGAAAAGGTCGTGTTTGAGAAATCTCTCTATCCTGTAAAGGTAACCTCTGACAGCAGAAGTTTGCTAGAATGAAAATACTGTATTCATCTTATCAAGAATGTTTTCTTTTTAAATAAAGCGGATACGGAGAGAAGCACCATGCCACTTTATGATTCGGGTTTGAGCCTCATCCGTATAGCAAGTTCTGTTCGAAACACCTAACAATTTTAGGAAATCCCTAATGTGAGGAGTGGTGTATTCCCTGGTAGCTAGAAGCAGAAGTTCAGCAGTGAAGCAGGAGTGCAGCCGGGTCTTTGACCTTCTTTTCTTCTCACATATCTTGTTTACCAAGTCTGTTGGACAGGGAAGACATACAAAATTAACAATTATCAACTTACACACATTTCTGTTTCCTTCTAGAATTTTACTTTTGTGGCTTCCTCATTATAGAGATTAGTTACAGAAAACTTTCAGTAGTTCATTTTCTCCTTTATTTTAGATGTGTTTCTATCTTGAGATCTGTAGGAAAATCAGAGAACTGTAGGAAAATCAAAGATTACATTCATGCTCATGATGAATTTAAAACTGTATTTCTCAGTTACAATGTAATCGAGAGAGAGTTAGAAATGTGTACTTCTGTTTAATAAGGTCTTTCTGCTAATTGTGTAAGCACAGTCTTTTATGCCAGTAATGATGTAATTAAAATGTTAAAATGTGATGCTCTCATTCAATAATAGCATTTTGTCTTCCTGAAATGAATATGTAAATAACAAACCTGAAAGATACTTACTTAAATGTTTTCTCGGTTAATTACTTAGCCCTGACTATTAAATTCTTTGTTCCTAAACTGGTCTTTCAAGTCTAATCTGCTTACCTGTTCCTATAGCAACAACATTTTTTGGGCTTTCAAGAGTAGATCCCTTCTGCTATCAAAGCTGAAAAAATTATAAAGAAGTAAAAGGCACATTAATTCAGGTGGCTTTCTTAACCATATCCTTTACTTCATTCAGATTTGACTGCCAAATGAATTGCCTTCAGCTCCGCCACAAATGTCACCAGAAATGACTTGCTACCTCACTTTGGATATCATCCTTGTTTCTTTCAAGAGTTTTCTTTAGGAAGTGAATGTTTCATTACTCACGATATTAAGTTGAAAAGTTTATCTTCACCTTGAATACTTTCCACCAGAATGCAGGGGCTCCTTCCTCTGAAAGTTTTTTTTGTTTTTGTTTTCTCTCTGTCTCTCTCTCTCTTTCTCTTTCTCTCTCTTACTCTTTCATTTAGAAATACACTTACTCTTTTCCAGTACACCTTTTTCTGCTCTTGGACAATTTATATTTCAAATGTCAATAAGAATCATTTATTTTCCAGAAGACATTCATGGTTCTAGGGAAACTGTTACCTCTTCCCTAGCATACATATGCCACCAAAGCAATTTAGTTAACAGTTCATCTTCATAACAGCACCATCAGATGCATCAGAATGTCCACCTAATTTTGTATGCAGCTGAAAGCCCAGTTAGGAGAGGGCCTTTGATATGGAAAGGGACACTGTGTTTTCTGCTGGGCAGTCATTTGGCCAGTAGTCTCAGCAGAGGTGCAGCAATTAGTATGCACTCCTGAGCTCTCCATCCTCTTCTGCCTAGAGAAACCTGGCCACCTGCCTGTTGCTGTTCCTGACACTCTGTTCCTTTTTAAGTCACTCCTGCATCCCTCAGCCAGAGCAGTAAACTATAATTATCTCTATCTATCTATTCTACATATTTTATAGTGATTTTTAGTATACAGAGCATTTTCTTGGCCACTAGCTAATTTCGTTGTCATCACAACCCCATAAGGTAGATGCTGTGATTCTTACTTTAAAGATGAGGAAATTGTTGCATAGATAATTTCCCTAAGTTTGCATCAACTAGTAAGTCTAGGAGCTGAGGCACCACACAGGTTAGTTTAAGTTGATAGCTCTTTTGTCTCTGGACCTGAATATAGCCCACTGATACCTTCTTCAGTTCTTCTGGAGAACATTGCACTCTTAACAGAAAACGTTCCCTTTCTTCATAAAACAAAGCTAAGAAGAACATCAACATCCAATCTTCGATTCCCCAGGATCTATTCTATTATAGATACTTTGAGTTTCTTTTTTCTTCTAGATAATTCCCAAGTATCTGAAATAAGTCCATCTCCTCTGACTTCCATGTCTAGAAATGTGTCACACCAAAGTGTTTATAGTTAAGTGCTTTATAATATACTTTGCTTGAATCTTTGCAAAAGTAATTTCTCTGGTGGTAGAAATTACTTCAAGTTTCAAGAGGAAACATTATAGGGTTTAGACCTCCTGTCAAATAAAGAAGAATATTCGGGTGCCTAAAGATGCCTGAGATTATCTTCCATTTTAGAGTAAAAAAAAAAAAAAAAAAAAAAAAAAAAAAAACCTGGCCATGCACGGTGGCTCACGCCTGTAATCCTAGCACGTTGGGAGGCCAAGGTGGGTGGATCAAGAGGTCAGGAGATCGAGATCATGTGGCCAACTTGGTGAAACCCCATCTCTACTAAAAATACAAGAATTAGTTGGACGTGGTGGTGGGTGCCTGTAGTCCCAACTACTTGGGAGGCTGAAGCAGGAGAATTGCTTGAACCCAGGAGGTGGAGGTTGCAGTGAGCTCAGATTACACCACTGTACTCTAGCCAGGGAGACAAAGTGAGACTCTGTCTCAAGAAAACAAACAAACAGAGAAACAAACACCCAAAACAAACAGGAACTAAATAGCAACCTAGGTGACCTGAAAGTAAGATCCTGAAGTGCAAAATGAGACAGGAGCCAAAGGAAGGGAAGTTTTAGGAGGGAGAAAGAAGGAAAAGTGAGAAAGTGAGACAATGACCTTCGAGGAAGGTTCACCTAAATGACTGCCTCGGAAAGGCTTCCAGAAGGAAACTCCCAGAGAGCACTGGGCCTGGAGCAGAGGCCTGGCCCTCAGTAGCCTTGGGCTAGCCTGCTCTAGACTCGGTTTGTATACCTGCAAAATAGGCCTGGTCCCTCTTACCCTACCCGACTCACAGAGCTCTTATGAAGATCAGTGGAGATAATCCAAGTGAACATGTTTTGTTAAGTATACAGTTCTGGCAAAGTGTGAACTGCTATTATCTAAATAAAGGTAGAAGGAGCCAGGGCCTTAGCAATTAACCAATTGAATAAATACTACCCCACAAAAATGAGGTCATCTCTTGTCATTTAGCTATTCCAAAAGGAATGTGTACTTTTATTCATAAGCCATAGGGACCACTTATAAATGGAGAGGAGCTGGGTTACCTTCTACTTGCCTTGTGCATACTTTGGGAAAACACCTACCTTTCTTTTCCTTCCTTCCTTCCTTCCTTCCTTCCTTCCTTCCTTCCTTCCAATTTATTGACATTTATATCATTTATATGTTTTCAACTAGATTCTATTGATTTTATAACTGATATTATACCAACCAGTTGTGGGTAGCTAAAAACTAGTAAGTGAAAAAGCACGATAAACTCTTTTTGGGCTTTCATGCCATTTCTGAGAACCTAGCAATGGGCACGTAATGTGGCAACATGGTTGCTGTGTGGTCGTTGCCACATTGGAAGTCCTGTCATGCCTTTAGCGGGAGCTAGGAACGTTTTTCTTCACCAATTATTTGGCTCACTTTGATAGCTGATGTTCCTCTTTTCTTCTCTAACACCCCGGAGCAAAAGCACCTCCCCCACCTCAATAGCCACTTGTTTATTATGCTCCATGAGCACCTCTGAGTCGGTTGCCAGTGTTAACTAGTGAACCCACAGATCTCATAGTGGGGGAATTGTGTTCAAGGCTGAGACATTTTGTCATTTGAAATGTTCAGGAAGCTGGGCCACTGGCCAAGTCCAATGTCTTTATTCTCCATTCATTGCTGCAGCACTCCCATGAAGTCAACTCATCTTAATATAAATTTTAGAGGAGTGAGATTTAATTGCGTCTTGAAGACAGGGATCCTGCTTGATTCACATTTTCTCAGCTTCTCCCTTTCCCTTCCCAATACACCCAGAATTTAACACAGTGCCTGGCACAAAAACTCAGGAGATGATAGCATTATTGCAAGCTCTATTAACCACAATTTTGCATTCTGAGAATGGGGAGACAGCAGGACTCAAAAGTAGGAGTAGTTTGGGTAATTTAAAAAGAAACCTAGAAAATGTTATGTTACTTATTTGGAATGGTCAGTAGTCTCAAGATTTTATCAATTAGTTCCCCTCTCCCCCAAGAATAACAAAAGCTTATTCTTCTGAGTTAATTAGCCATACAGTACTATTTTTCTATGAGATACTTTATCTTTTCATCTGTTCATATATAAACTCAACAAATATTTAAGAAACCTCTACTTTTTTCCAGGAGTCCTCTGTGTTAACCAAGGAGGAATTTCAAAGAATAGCAAATAGCTTCTGTTTTCAAGGAGCTCACAATCTAGTGGCAGAGCTGAGTACATAATTTGAGGGGCCCAGTGTGAAGTGCAAATGAGGTGTACCTTGTTCAACAATTATTAAGAATTTTAGGATATTGATAGCAGACTATTGAGCCAAGTGTAGGGTCCTTCTGAGTGTAGGACTCTTCCTGAGTGTAGGACCCTGTGTGACTGCACAGGTTGTTGGCGCATGGAGCTGTCCCTGCCAGTTGGGGTACAAGTATAATGAAAGTGTGATATAATAGGTATTTTGAGAGTTATGCATACAGAGCTGTGGGAACACAGAAGAAGGAACAATTCAGTCAAAGAAAACTTCAAGGGGAAAGATGACATTTAATTTTCCTGGAATGGTGGGTGATTTTGAAGAACTTTATGAGACATTCTAATGAGTATCTTTTCCAATGATTCTCAAATATTCACCTGTAGAATCAGGTGGGGGAATACACACAAAATAGATTCCTAGGCCCCATTCTAGACCTACTTGATTAGAATCTTTGTTGGTGGAGCTGGATGTGGTCAGAATGATTGTGATGCCAGCCTGGCTGATACAATGCGGAAGCCACTGGAAGTCTTGAAGCAGGGAGTACTATGGTAGGGCTCCTTAAAGGATGTTATATCGCGGCATGAGCAAGGTTGGTTGGAAGAACAGAGACCAGTGAGGAGGCATTTGCAATAGCCCAGGTGAGAGTAATAGGACTAAACGATAGCCTTTTCAGAGGGGATACTGAGTAAAGAATGGATTTAGTAGAAATTTAGATGACAGAATTGAAAAGATTTCATAATCTAGACTGGGAGGCAAGAAAGAAAAGGTAACAGGATGAGTAGTTATGAAGGATGTCTCTAAGGTTCTTAGCTTGTCCAGTAGGGAAAGATCATGATGTCATTTAATTCTAAAAGTGAAAGTAGGAACAAGTTGAGAGAAGGGATGGCAATAGAAAAGCAAATACTTAGATGGTGATTGATCTGAGCCAAGTTCTGAACTAAGAACTTCACACATGGTAATTTATTTAATCCTCTCAGCAACCCAGTAAGGAATTATCATCTCTGTTTTATGAATAAGAAAATTTAGGCATAGGGAGGTTAAGTGATATTACCAGGTTCATTTGGCAAAGTAAATTGCAGGCTGTGGCTTCAGGCCTTGCCTTAAATGGGAATTTGCTGCCTCCCGTTTTTGTTAAATTTTGGATGTACTACTTCAGTCATTGATGGTAGAAAAAGCACCAGGGTGTAATTGAAAGAAACACATTAGGAGGCCAGAGACCAGCATTGTTGTGTTGGGTCTAATATTATTTATTCGTACAACCGTAGAGCACTTCCCCTCTCTTGAACATTGCCCTACTTACAAGGTGAAGGTAATGTTACCGAAACACCGGGGTTCCAGTCTACGTTCTGCTGCTGGCTGCATAGAAATCCAATCACTGCTGCTGGCTGTCATAGGAAGACAACAAGTATTTCCAGGAAAGATGGCTTTTATTTGGGTGCTGCAGCTGAGGAAATGGGAGAGCAATCTCAAATCCATCTCCTGACTGACTATAATTGAGGTTCATATAGCAGGAAAGGAATGTAACTACATTGAGTAAACAGGAATTAAGGAGGGGGTAAGGAAATCATGAGGGATGAGGGGCCTGGTTTCTCACTGTTTGAATGTGATGATCTGGTGAGTTTCAGTTCCTTGATACTATCCAGGAGTCCTGAGGGAGGAACTCAGATAAGACAAATGTAAGTTTCAATCTTCCAGACCTGGAGGGTCAATTTTAATATTTTTATTTTAAAAGACTGTAAA